CTAGGATAGAAGTCTTAGTCTAATGAATTTTTCTCCTAAGATAAGAAAACCTAGTCTGATGAATCTTTTTCCTATAATATAAGTCTTAGTGTGGCGAATTTTTCTCTTAAGATAAGAAAACCTAGTCTGATGAACTTTCTCCTAGGATACAATGTCTTAGTCTGATGAGTCTTTCTCCTAAGATAAGAAACCTAGTCTGATGAATCTTTCTCCTAGGATAAACGTCTTAGTCTGATGAATCTTTCTCCTAAGATAAGAAACCTAGTCTGATGAATTTTCTCCTAGGATACAAAGTCTTAGTCTGATGAATCTTTCTCCTAAGATAAGAAACCTAGTCTGATGAATTTTCTCCTGGGGATAAATATCATAGTCTGATGAATCTTTCTCCTAAGATAAAAAACCTAGTTTGATGAATGTTCTCCTAGGATAGAAGTCTTAGTCTAATGAATTTTTCTCCTAAGATAAGAAAACCTAGTCTGATAAATCTTTCTCCTATGATAGAAGTCTTAGTCTAATGAATGTTTCTCCTAAGATAAGAAAACCTAGTCTGATGAACTTTCCCCTAGGATATAATATCTTAGTCTGATGAGTCTTTCTCCTAAGATAAGAAACCTAGTCTGATGAATATTTTTCCTAGGATTTGAAATCTTAGTCTGATGAATCTTTCTCCTAAGACAAAACGCCCTAGTTTGATGAATTTTCTCCTAGGATAGACGTCTTAGTCTGATGGATCTTTCTCCTAAGATAATAATTATAAAAATTTTAAAAAAAAAACTAATCTGATGAATTTTCTTCTAGGATAATTAACAAAAAAAGGGTTAGTTTCAGTTTACTCAAGTTGTTAATCTTAGTTTTCCTTTAGTTCAGGGGTCCCTCCTGGAAAATAGAGTCAGTTTTAGTTTCCTTAAGTCGTTAATCTTTAGTTTTCCTTAAGCTCAGGAGGCCCGCCTGGAAAATAAGTTCATCTTTTAATTCTCTTAAATCGTTAGTCTTTAGTTTTTCTTGAGTTCGGGCGACCCGCCTATAAATACGGTTCAGTTTTAGTTTCCTTAAGTCGTTAATCTTTAGTTTTCCTTAAGTTTAGGTATCCCACTGGGAAAATAGAGTCAATTTTAGTTTCCTTAAGTCGTTAATCTTTAGTTTTCCATAAGCTCAGGAGGTCTGCCTGGAAAATAGGGTCATCTTTTAATTCTCTTAAGTCGTTAGTCTTTAGTTTTCCTTGAGTTCAGGGGTCCCGCCTAGAAAATAGGGCCAGTTTTAGTTTCCTTAAGTCGTTATTCTTTAGTTTTCCTTAAGTTCAGGGGTCTGGCCTGGAAAATAGGATCATCTTTTAATTTTCTTAAGTTGTTAGTCTTTAGTTTTCCTTGAGTTCAGGGGTTCCGCTTGGAGAATAGGATTAATTTTTTAGTTTAGTCAAGCTTAGTTTATAGTATTCCTTAAGTTCAATCTCACAGGAGACGCACATCCTAGTTTAGTCTGTAGTTTTACTCTCGTCATTGCATCTTTCATCAATAGCATAGGTGATTTATAATTTTGCCAATAACTTGCGAAATTTTCCTAGTGAAAACTGGGGCAGAAAAATTTCGTTCGCTTGTTTTGTTTTGGTGTCTGAGCAAGTTTTACCTCGAGGCACAGGGTTCGAGATGACCAAAAGAAGAAATCTCAATCCAGAATAAAAGAAAAGAATAAGGAAGTGAATCCAAAATGCAGAAATAGATGAAAGATATGGACTGCTCAAGACATGAGTGAAGTCACGAGCACTACATTACCTGTTTTTATCAGAAGAATCTGTAGAAGAATGAAATAGCACCTGCAACTAGCAAGTATCAAGGTTCCAATCAAAAGTCTGCATGAAGAACCATTCAAGACTCAAGATCAAGCTTTAGAAGACTTATAGATAGAAATCTTGTAACTCATAGCTGATAGGCTAGTTTAGTATTAGGTTTTGATTTTGATATAATAACAGGACCACGGACCAGAGCGTCGAACGGTACCTCACTCGACTTTCTCATCCTCTCCACATACTTCTTCTCTTCTCACTTCTGAACTACACATGACCTGATTCCTTTATAGCCAAGGATATATAGGCAGCTCAGATGTCAGGGCTCGGTCACAATCTTTTATCCATCTTTATCTCATTTGAATAAGTATCGGGTCAAAAGTCAATTATATTGTTTACTTAATTCTTTGCTCAAAAACTCTTCGAGTTTCTAAGCAAAGAGGGGCAGTTGTAAGCACGTAATTTTTGACTCGTGTGATTTTTAAAGATTATATTTAGTATTCATAATATTTTTAATATTTATTTGAGTTTATAGATATTTTTATCTTCAATTTTAGTTTTAAAATATAAAATTGAAAATACAAATAAAATAGTTTCATTTGTTCTATTTAATTCAGGTATTAGGTATTTTTAGAAAGATATTATTTTTAATCCATTTTTATTTTAATATAATCCTTGAAAATACCAAAAAATATTTTCATGTCATAATATAGTTGTTTAATTAATTAGGATTATTTTACATTTTTATGGTGTTATTTTAGAAGAAATTAATATATTTTTTAGCCAAATTACAAGAATTGTAGAATTAAAGGGCCAATTTTATAACCCAATAACCTTCAACTTAGCAAGCCCAATCTTCTTAGCCCATAACCCATCAAATTTCTTCCTTCCCAAAACCATATTTTGGAGAACTCTTTTAAAAGCTCTCATTCTCTAAAACAAGAGAGGTCAGCCGTTCCCCACCCTCTCCATCTCTTCAGCCGCAACCTGCATAAAAAATGACAGTAAAGAGAGAGCTTAGGCAAAAATAGCCGCTGCTCATCTCCTTCTTCCTCAAGAATCCAAAACCAATAAAAAAAGCCCAATCCCCCCAACATTTTAATCTCCTAATACATAAAAAGAGAAGCAGTCGCCCACCCATTATCGGAAATCATCTTGGAGGATTAAGCCTATCCATAGAAGAACAGTAGCAACAACAAGAAGGATGGTAATTGTTGTCCATTTCAGCGCGATGATCCAGATTTGAACCACTGAAATTAAACCCTCTTGTTTATTGTCAAATAAAAGAAGATTTGACACTGATCATACCTGAAAAGAAAAGCTCTTTGTCGTCCCTAACTTCCAAAAAGTAAAATACACCCTAAGTATATTTCTCTAACCCACACAGCCCCAAAATTCATTGGAACACTAACCCGAGACCCATTTGTTGTAGCTGATACTTCTCAGTCCAACGTCTCCATCCATAGCTTTGGTCGGGTTCAAGGTCGCAGTTCGATCTAGCCGGTGAGATCTCCGTTTAGCGGTTCCGGCTCTGGTCAGAGATTCATTCTTGTTCGAATTTTGAAGGAAACAGTCAAGCAATTATAAAGGTCCATTCTCTTCTACTTTTAAATAAATTTCATACTTCGACTAGCCTTAACGGTGTTTCATTGAGTTACCTGTTTAATTGTGTTAATGTGAGACGAAGGAAACTATGTTGGACATGTTAATTTAGATATTTTAGTTTCATTAATTTGCTAATCATGAATGAAGACTCTAATTAAAATGCTTTCAATGTTGACGGGCCAAAGGTTTACGTTTGGTTTGCTGTCTTGGTGTTATCTCTATATCTCCAAACTTTATTCTATTTTGTTTCCTTTTGCCATAATAAATTTGTCAATTAAACCTTTTTCTGCATTTCGTGATTAATTGGTTTGGGATTTGGACGTCTGTCTCGCGGACCAAAAATATAGTCAATTTTCCTCGATTTGGGATTTAAAATAAATCAGTGACTTGGGACACCATAAATTATTCCAAGTGGCGACTCTGATTAAATAAATAATCCCATTTTGATTAATGTCACTTTAATTGAAAAAACTCCCTATCCCTATCCCATTTATATTAATGTCACTTTAATTGAAAAAATTCTCTATCCCTCGGGGAAAAGGAGGTATGGCAGTAGGTACTCTATATGGTCCCCAAATACCACAATGAACTAGTTCAAAAATAGTCTTTGTTGCAGTATTACTCAGCTAAAAGGGCATTTTGGTTTGTTTAGCAACAGGACATACAGTACAGGGCTGATTAGAGTTACCTGTTGTCGGCTTACTCAATGCCTCTATCTTCTTTATTATGTCTGTGGGAGCATGTCCTAATCTCTTATGTCATAAAATGCAAATGCTAGAAACAGACACACTAAACCTGGAAGAACTATTGGAAGCAGAAGAAGTAGAAGTAGAAACATCATTTGTTATGTTAACGCACTTATTCGTTACCTAAGATGAGGCTGATATAGATTGTACGTACTCCCACACAGTACGTACAATCTATGCTCCTACCAATCCCCTTCACCTGACCACTGAAGAGGTCCTGAAAAATATAGAAGTCAGGGAAGAAACCAACCATACATTTTAGTTCCATAGTGAGTTTTGAAACTGTGAGTGGGTTGAACTTAAAGTCAGGAATGTAGAGAACATTAGAGATTTCCTGATTACTTAATACAGAAGTATTTTCTGTGTGTGATACTGATACAACACTTCTAGTAGGTAAGTGTACTTTTTTTTCTTCTGTGTTTGGAAGTGCCATATGAGTGTGCAACATGTCTAGGCTTGAAGTCATGTGATTTGATGCCCCGGTATCAACAATCCACTTGTCATTAACATAATGAGACATAAAAGCATTCACTTTGCTCAAAATACCTGCAGCAGCAGATTTGCTTGATGAGACTGATCCTCGTGAGCTTCCTTTTGGCAACAGATGAAGAATCTGCTGATATTGTTCAGGAGTAAAGACAGGAGTAGGACGTGGCATTTGCTAGAAGAAAGTAGGTTGATTTGCTGGTTGTGGAACACCTGAATTAGAGCGACTTCCTCCTCTGCCTTGTTGAGTCACACTAGAAGCTACATTCTTGCCCATAATATATCTATCTATATAGTTCACCTCTGCACCATACACTTGATTTGCATACTGTCAAGTATTGATTCCCTTCTTTTTGGATTTGAAATCCGGAGGATATCCAACTAGCTTATAGCATTTTTCCTTGTATGTACCTTGTAGTAGCAATATTCACATTGAACTTGCCTCCTCTTTAGTTGTAGTTTTTAGTATTATTTGTGTTCTTGCTGCTATACACTTGTGTCATATTTGCAAGGTTTCTTTTGCTTTCCTGATCAACTAACATAGAATAGGCCTTATTTATACTAGGCAAAGGAGACATCATCATGATTTGACTCCTTGACTGACAGTAGGACTCATTTAAGCCAGCAAGAAATTGAAAGAGCCTTTGATATTCAAAGTGTTGAGCATACTTCTTTGACTCAGGACAGGGACAGCCAGGACACGGCATAAGAGCATCAAACTCATCCCAAAGCTCTCTTAGTTTAGAGAAATAGTCAGAATCATAACTCCTTGAGTCAAAGTGTGAACCTCCCTATATGGGTACATAATTCTGGAACCATTTACTTTATTAAATCTCTCTTTTAAGTCTTCCCAAACTTTATGAGCACTAGATGCATATAGGACACTACTTAGCAAACCTGGCCTCATAGCATTCATTATCCATGACAAAACAATAGCATTCACTTTCTCCCACAGATCATGGAGTTCAAGCTCAAACTTAGACTTAGGAAACCTACCGTCGACAAATCCTAATTTACTCTTACCTAGCAAGCCAATTCTCATTACGCGACTCCACAAAGCATAGTTATCAGATCCAGTAAGTTGAAGAGAGATCAGAGAACTAACTAGTGTGTCGGTTGGCTGTAGATACAACGGGTGACAATGGTAGGGAATGAGGTACTAGTCATGAAATTGCCATTCGCTGAGGTCGTGGCAGTGTGAGTAGGAGTAGTATTGTTGATTTGATCGTCTTCAACCGCCATTGTTGACTGGGAATTGGCTTCACAAAACACAATTTGTAAACCCTAGCTTCGATCGAGAATTGCTCTGAGACAATTCGGCACCTCAAATTGCAGAATTGAAGCAACCTAGATGAAGAGACTCGTTCGCAAACTTGCTTAGATCCACACCGATGGCTCTAATACCATATTAACAGCCATAGAAATGGTGATCAAAGCTAACGTGAAGGAAGAATTTAGAAGGAGAAAATGAAAGAAGAATGAGAGAAGAAGAGAACCAACTCACTTCATTTTTCAAATCCTAAGTTCTGTACAATCTTCTATAGTTTAACAAACTTACTGACTTTAACACTAACCGACTTTCACTAACTTCTAACTAACTAACTCTTGTTAATATTACACTTAAGCTTAACTGTAGTTAGCTATCAGCTTGTCACTTAGCTGCTAGCCATCAGGTTTTATAATCTCTTCACATCTCCTGTTAACTCTGCTATTTAGTGTTAGACACTTCCTTTGTTTGGATTTGCTTTCCTTGGTTTGACAATGAAGATCTTTCTTTCTTTGATCTACGTCATCATTTCAAATTACACTTTCACCAGCACTCTCTCTCTCACACAGTAATGAAATCTAACACTTTCACAAAACATATCATGGAGCTCTGTGAAATAAAGATAGAATTTATCAGAACTTCTCCCAAAAGTCACTTTTTATCTTAGGTGCATATATAGCTAATTAAACATATAGAACGCATAATGTGTCAAATATATATATATATATATATATATATATATATATATATATATAGAATAAATTACTTTATTTGAAACTATATGTGCAAATTTAAAACATACCATAATACTGTTAAATATCAAGTAAACATAGGAAAAACCCATTATGCATCATACCATATGCATGATGATCGATCCAAGTATTGGCCAAAGCTAAAAACTCTTCAATTCGAGCAAGCACCACTTATCTTTGTACATGCGATTCATATCTGAAATCTCATTTTTATCTAAAACATGCTGAAATCGTACTAGTTATGGGGAAACCATTCATGAATAGGTAACCACTTACCTCGATATTTTCTTGCTACAAATTTCTCTAATTCAATCAACTTTACCAATTCCTTCAACAATCTAGTGGAATATAAGATAAACAAGATGATCCTAACACAGTTTAACCCAATCCTAATCTACAAACCCTATCCCCAACCTATTGATTTCTACATGAACTGATTAGTATAGAAGATTTTTACATCATCATGTAATTTAAATTAAATCACAATTTCTTTTAAATCATAAAATGGGAAGTCAATATATTTTCCTTCAAAACCAAATCACAATTTCTTTTTCAAGCCGGTAAAAAATAAACAATATTAAATGAATAGATGCACGCTGAGTGAAGCAATTATTTCTAACTAACTATTTTGAAAATACAACTTCTTTCTAAAGCCTCTTTTATCATTTCTAAGTCCAACCTACATTCCTAACCTTGCCAACTAACCTCATTTTTTCACTTCCACCTCAAGAGAGAGAAAACCAAAACCAACGCTTGTCCGCTATCAATAATAATAATAATAATGAGAATTGCAATAATTATAAGAATATAATAATAATCAATCATTGACTATTACGGTAAAAGTAGAATTTTGAAATAATGATAAAATTATCTCCGCATAGCATATACATTACGGGTTCAAGACGTAAAATTATTCATCAAAGTATACGGCCTACATTACACCTGCGTGGTATGGTCTTTCTCCGAATCCTATTTATACGAATGTTTGAGTTGGCCTTTTGACTATTATTTTATTGAGAATTACTTTGCAGTAGCTGTTAATATGACATGTGGCCCCATTTGTCCAAACATGAGGGCAGCGTGACGGCGACGATCTTCCAACTTCGCCGGCGATTCTTCTCTCTTATGTCATTACTTGTTCAACTCAACTTTCTACCTGTCTTCTCAACGTGGCCATGTCCTTCCCAGCTGTTTTCCCTTTCTCTTGGGCCCCACACGGTTTCTCACCTCCCTATATAAACCCCTTACCCCTACTTCTCCGATTCACAGTACATCTTCTGAGATATGGCATTGAAGGCTATGACGGTGTTTTTTGCCATTGTGGTGGTCTTATCGGCAGTTGCTTCTGCTCAGGAAGTGACCTCGGCTCCGGCACCATCGCCGGACCAAGGCGGCGCGTTTTCACTACCGGCTTCCGGCGCGATTATCTGCTCCTCACTGATTTTGTCTGTTGCCGCTCTACTCAGGAACTAGACGATATGATCGATAGCTCCTTCCTCGTCGATTTGATGATTATTCATTGAGTTGTTTTACCGCCCGGTATTTATGTAGATAATACACATTGTATATTTATGCATTTTGGTGAGATTTTTGTTTTGTACTAGTAGGGATTATTGTACTTGTTTTTGTATAATTATTGGTTTGGCTATATAATAAAAGACTGTTTTCGTTTTGTATTTACACACAGTGTTATGGCTTCTGCGTGAGATTTCTTTTCTGTCATATGAGTGAGATTATATAGAGATGATCGAAAATTCGAGTAGGCTATATATTGATACCTAAATTTTCAAATGTATCGCGATAACGAGACCAGCTTTTCATGAAACAAGTTATAGATGAAATTTCATATTCATTATTCAGCAATATAATATTAAGATTTACTTTTTAGAATTAGGATATTATATTATGAAAAGATATTAACTGAGCGAATAAATCGCAAAACTATTTCTTATTCTTTTTCATAATCATTTAGTAAATTAATGCAGTAAAATCTAGATGACACATTTCGCTTATCGAGAATTAAACTATATGAAATTTGACCAATATTTTAAAATATATTTTGTTATTATATTAACATGAGAAAAATTGTAACTTATAATAATATTTTTTGTATAGTTTTTGTATATCTAAATTTTAATTTTAAAATATTAAGTTGAACTAGTTAAATTCTCTCGCCCCTCGCAATGACTAAAGCTTTAATGCCACGAGTGTATTGATCGCTAAACGCAATAACTTTAGAAAGTTTCAGATTTTATATGCTGATATTGCATAATTTGATTTTTTTTAAAAAGCATATGCAACCTTACCCCTTACAGAGAGTTATGTCAAATAATTCCATGAATGACCGTAATAAAAAGGTAATAGTTCACAAATTTTGTGTGGCATACTAGAAAAACAAATTTGTGAAAGCAAACATTAGAAAGATTTTCAAAAAAAAAATGAAAAACTTGAAAATGTCGTCTTGGTTTTCTGAAGACAGACGTCGCTCTTTGAAAATCAGACAAAAATATCTCTTCGAACGGAAAGCAACTCAAAGTAGTAGGTTCTCATGATATTCTGATGTGTTCTCGAAATTCGTTCTCAAAGATACATTACTCGCGTAAAATCGGTCTACGCCTACTTATATTTCCAATAGCAACGTTTCGACAAAAGTCTTTGGGAAAAATTACTTTTAGCCACAAAAAAATGGCCAAATAAATTATTAATTTTCTCAACTTGATGAAGACACCTACACCGCCTCGATAATTACGTACCTCACTAACCCCAATCCAAAAAAAACTTAAGCTTAAAAGATCCAAATTAAAGATAATGATCAAACACATAACTATATAAGAAACGGAAAAGGGCATGATATATCCCTCTGCTATGGTATATTGTTCAATACCGTCCCCGTTATACTTTCCGTCCATTAAAGCCTTTATCGTCCAACAAAGTTTTGTATGTGCTCTTATTTTAACGGCTGGAACACGTGGCACGATCTGAGAAGACTAAGAACCCACTACACTTAATAAACCTGACCCGCCCCAATTTCACTGCCCCGCCCGCCCGTTCATAAACCATACCAAAAATAACCACCGTAAGAGCACAAACAAAACATCAAAATTCTAGGGCTTCTTCATCGTTCCCATTCTAATAAACCCATTAATCAAAAAATCACTGTAAAAACACAATCAAAACATCAAAATTCTAGGGCTTCTTCGTCGCTCCCATTGCTAAGTATTCAGCTGGTCGGAAAGTGCTGTACAATGTCGGAAAATAGCTATTCGTCGAAGAGGATCTGCCGATGTGAGGAAGTTGCTAATCACTTTACTTCAAAAACTCTCTTAAACCCTGGTAGAAGATTTTACAAATGTCCTAAACTTGAGGTAGTTTTTATTTCTCTATTTCGATTTATTTCTCTATTTCGATTTACAAATATCCTAAAACTCTCTATTTTGAATTTATTTTCTTGTGGTTTGTGTAGAGTGAAAGATGTGGGTTTTGGGAATGGCATGATGAAGAGTATCC